CAGCATCATTCCTCCAGTCTTCAGTGTCACATGATCTTCAGAAATCAGTATAATATGCTGATCTGCTGCTCGAGAAACATTTCTGATTATTATCAATGTTGAACACAGTCGTGCTGCACAATATTTCTGTGGAAACTGATGCATTTGATTTCTCAGGATTCACAGATTAACAGAAAGTTCAAAAGAACGGCGTCTTTTGTTACGTTATAAATGTCTTTACTGTCACTTTTGATCAATTTAATGCAGCCTTGATGAATAATTATCATTAATAATATTATTTTTTTATTTTTTTATCTCGCTTATAAACTTTTGAATGGTAGGTTTTCACAAAAATGTTTCTCGAGCAGCAGATCAGCATATTATACTGATTTCTGAAGATCATGTGACACTGAAGACTGCAGTAATGATGCTGAAAATACAGCTGCGCATCACAGAAATACATTACAGTTTAACAGAGATTCACACAGAAAACAGCTGTTTTACATTATAATAATATTTCACTATTTTATTATATTTTTAATCAAATAAATGCAGCCTTGATGAGCAGAAGAGACTTCTTTCAGAAACATTAATAAATCATAATTATTCCAAACTTTTGATCAGTAATGTAGTAATGCATGTGGTTTTGACATTTACTAATATTACGGATGCATAAAGGAAAGAGTAAATTAATAACATGCAGCTTTTTGTTCTCAATTAACAAAAACAGCTGCATTACATTACATTTGTTTTACGATATCTAGAAGTACATTTATGCTAATATGTGCATACTTTGCAATGGTAGAAAAGTGGTTTGGTAAAGGTTTTCCTGTCCTCTAGTTTATACTATGTTACACATATAAATGTTATCATTTACCCATGGGCCTAATTAGTTTTTAACAATTCCATTTGCTAAAAAAAAAACATGACTATTTCGTTTTACTTTTTGTTGTAGTATTTAAATGAAACTAAGTCGATCCCATTAGAGTGTCTCAGAGATGGAGAAGCTCTCCGTTAAAGTGTTTCTTGTGTTTGTGTCAGTGATGTCGGGGAACTCTGGCGACTCTTTCTCTGATGACTCTGATGGAGAGGCCAGTAAGAGTAAAGACACTGGAAAGAAGAAAGGGTCGCGTAATCGAGCACCGCGGCCGAAGAAGAGCAGCAGCCCTCATCAGTCCACCAGCACACCGCCAGCGGCACACAAGAGACGCAGCGCTCAGGTCAAGTCCGGTCAGTCTCCTGCGCTAAAACATCAGCTCAGACACATTTCATCAGAAGTTATGTCGAATCTGAGTTTGCATTCTGAAGGGAGTGTGATTAGACATTATTCAGAAAACCGGTTGCACACATCAAGAAGAGAATGTGAAAACCTCCCTAAATCTATTAGATGTTTTGCAGTCTGTAACTATTTGTGTAGTCGGTGGAAGAAAAATTCTCTAAAAACAATCTTGAATTCCAGTAATAATATCGTACTCGGTTACTGACGTAACCTCGGTTCCCTGAGATACGGGAACGAGTACAGCGTCTTGCTTAAGACGCTTTGGGAAAACTCCTTTTTCCCCGAATACTGAAGCCTTTTTCAATCACGCACTGTAACTGCACGGCCATTGGTTCGTGCAGTGTATTATTAAAAACTAACCAATGGCTCAGCAGTGGAGCTGCACGAGCCTATGGCGACACAGCCTGCCAGTTTGGACGGGGCATCTGGCTATATAAGCGTGCACTTCGCCATAGGATCCTCAGGTTACTTCGACTGAAGCGATGACCGAGTCGTGCAGCTACATAGCACGGCCAGCAACGCAGTACTCATTCCCGTATCTCAGGGAACCGAGGTTACTTTAGTAACTTAGTTCGTTCCCTATCGATACTTCACTCGTACTGCGTCTTGCTTAAGACGCTTTGGGGAACCAGTACAATCCCGCCGTGCTATGGTAGAGGAACGACCCATGCTTGAACTTGCCTTGAGCACCAAGGGCCCAGAGGGACCAAGTAATTGTAGGGAAGTCCCACAGGAAGCGATAGGGCCAAACTCACAGAGGTCGGCCCGGCGCCAAGTAATCGTTCCAAACAAAATCGTACTGCCTCGGAACCCAGTGGGGGCCAAGAGCGTACAGAGAAGGCAAATGCCTGATTTACCTCTAGTTTTGCCAGAGTAAGTCCATTTAAGCAGAAAGGACCCAAGCGCGTGCTTTCCAGCGAAAAGAACCAGTCCCCTAGACACACTTGCGAAAGGATCTGTTTCAATGTAATCATCCTGAACAGCCGTTTCATGAGGGCTTGGTTCAGGTGCCTGAGATCGAGGAAATAGCGGCTGTGGAGCCTGACTCGCTTTAAGCTGGGGAAATTCTGGGAAATAATGCCTCGGAACCCAGTGGGGGCCAAGAGCGTACAGAGAAGGCAAATGCCTGATTTACCTCTAGTTTTGCCAGAGTAAGTCCATTTAAGCAGAAAGGACCCAAGCGCGTGCTTTCCAGCGAAAAGAACCAGTCCCCTAGACACACTTGCGAAAGGATCTGTTTCAATGTAATCATCCTGAACAGCCGTTTCATGAGGGCTTGGTTCAGGTGCCTGAGATCGAGGAAATAGCGGCTGTGGAGCCTGACTCGCTTTAAGCTGGGGAAATTCTGGGAAATAAGCCAGCAAATTCATCACCTCGGGAGCGCAGGACGTATACGTCTTTGCTCTAAACCGCGGTGGAAACCACGCCGCTGAATCGCAGGGGTCTTCGAGTGAATTGCAGTGAATAACCTCGTTTTATTATCCCCAAAACACAGTCTGGCACTCCGGGGATGGCCTGCCAAGGGGTTGGATTAATTCAAGAGGCTGGTCGCTGTATGGGGACCCCACACTCAGAAGAGGAATTTTGTTCTCTTTTGAAAATGCGTTCAAAAAATGCTTCGCTAGACTTAATGCTCTCATAGCGAGAGCAGTCATCCCCCGTGCACGCTGCTTCAGCGTCGGCGTGGCCCAGATGCGTCCAATTTGAAGCTGTCAGTGATAATAATCATTAGTGAGAGCATTCCCTTTTAATTCGCCTAAAAAAATCAAACCACTCATTAGAAGAGGAGTACTGATGATCTTTGTGTAAACACTCAAGATCAAAAGTGCTGCGCGCATTCTCTCAGATCCGCTTGTGGCGGACGAGGGGAGGGGCGGGGCCGCCTTCATTGAAGAAGACGAGCCGCGAGCAAAGCAGACATGAACTCTCGTAGCGAGAGCGATCTGTCTCGGCGAGCGCAGCCTCAGCGTCAGGCGAGAAGCGCATTCAAATACGAAGCTGTCAGTGATATTAAATCATTGGTGACCGCGTTCTGCTCCGATCCTCACGTGTAAACACACTGGCGGATCAAAGAGCTGCGTGGAGAGTAATGCATGCGGGGACTTGCTGGCGTTAAATCACTCAAGCCTGATCGCTCATCCCCACGAGCCATTTCTTACTCTGAGTAACTGGGAGGAGAGAAACACAAGAGCAGGGGAGGCGGGGCTCAGCTACGCATACACAAATGCGAAACTGCAAACGTCCTGCTTTGATCTGCCTAGGAGGATTAAGCCGCTCGGTGTAACGAGGGGCACTGATCCTCACGTGTAACACACACTGGCAGATCAAGCACGCATGATGTGTGCCAGCAGGAATTGCTCAAGCCTGATCGCTCAACCCGCGAGCTCGCCGTTGGTTCCTCCGAGGTAACTGGGAGGAGAGAAACATGAGAGCGGGGAGGCGGGACCGCCTTCCGCGAACAGGGGCAGACTGCTTTCATGGTAAAAGCAGCCCGTCTCTGTGAGCGCAGCCATAGCGACACACACATACCAATTTGAAGCTGTCAGTGACAGCGTTCCGCTTCGATCAACCTCGGAAAATAGAGCCACTCAATGTAAAGAGGGGCGCTGATCTTCATGTGTAAGACACGGATCGGCGTGATATCGCTCAGACCCGGTTGCTTAGCTCTCAGGCTTCGCTGTTTCTCTCTCCGAGGCTCATTGAGAGGAGAAACTTAAGCAAGACGCAGTACGAGTGAAGTATTGTTAGGGAACTAAACTTCTACAATGTAATAAAAGGTATTTTAATTTTTCCCGTTTTCCCAGTTATTGCACTATCATTGATGTAGTATTATAGTTTTTTAATATTTTGAATTAGTTTTAATTTTTGTGTTTTCTGTTTTCATTTCAATTTTAGTTTTAGTGAATTGTTTCATTGTGTGTGTTTTAATTTTATTTCAGTTTTAGTTGTTTGAGCGCATCAAATTAAACTAATAGAAAATGAGAAATGCTGCTTTGGCAACTAGCTGACATAATTTTAATAAAAAAATGTTATTAGTGTGATCTTAGTATTATCTAGAAGCTATTATAGTTTTTTTTTTTGTATTTGCCGTTTTCATTTTAGTTTTAACGTTTTAGTGATTTTGTGTTTTTTACTTGAGATACTATTATAGTTTTTTTTTCTAAATATTTTCAATTAGTTTTTGCTTTTTAAAATCTGTCTATATAGTATTTTTTTTATTTGAGTACATCATGTTAAACTAATAAAAATGGTGCTCTGGAAACTAGCTGGGGAAAAAAGTTTTTGGATATTTTACTCTATTTCAGTTAACATTGATTTTATTTCTGTTAACAAAAAAAATATTTTTTTAATGGTTTTGGTCTGAGTTAACTATACTAATCCTGCTTGCCACCAGACGTGTTTATGGTTATACTCAGTAATTTAGGTTGCGTGTAAGTTTTTGGCGGTCAGTGTTAATGGTGTTGTGTGTCTCAGGGAAGCGCGGCGTGCTGAAGCGGCCGTGGTCAGAGGCGGAGCGAGTCGCAGTGGAGACGCACCTGAAGAGGAACATCATGGAGCTGCGTGTGCCTGCGAAAGCGGACTGTGAGCGATGCCTGCAGCTCTGCCCTCTGCTGGTCAGTAACCAGCGCGACTGGAGAGCCATCAAGTTCTACTGCCACAACCGCATCCAGCTCCTGAAGAAACAGGGACGCAGAGACGGGAACACCGCCGCCGTCTGCTAACCACAGTAACACACACACACACAGAGACACACACACACACACACTCACACACACACACACTCACTCACACTCACACACACACTCACGCACACACACACACACACACACACACACTCTCACA